AGGGGGTGCAGGGTGCGGCAGGGGGATCAGGGCAGGGGGTTGGGGTGCAGGGTGCGGCAGGGGGCTCAGGGCAGGGGGTCAGGGTGCAGGAGGCATGCGGGGTGAGGCAGGGGGTTCAGGGCAGGGGGTCATGGTGCAGGGTGCAGCAGGGGGCTCAGGGTCAGAGTGCAGGAGGGGTGCAGGGTACGGCAGGGGGTCGGGGCGCAGGAGGGGTGTGGCATGGGCTCAGGGCAGTGGGTTGGGATGCAGGAAGGGTGAGGCAGGGGGTCAGGGTGCAGGGTGCGGCAGGGGGCTCAGGGCAGGGGGTTTGGCTGCCCTGCCCCCGCAAGAGGCTGGAACGTGGGGAAGGTGAGGGAGGGGCTGTGTGTTTCTGTTGCTTGAGGCATCGCCTTCAGCAGCTACCATTGGCCGCGGATCCCCGTTCCCGGCCAATTGGAGCTGCTGGGGGCGCTGCCTCAAGCAACAGAAACACACAGCCCCTCCGCCCCCCCTTCCCCACGTTCCAGCCTCTTCCCATAGCAGCGCAGGGAGCCTGCCCTGCTCCCGGTGCATGACCAGCCGCTGCTCTGATAAACACTGGGGAAGGGCGGGGGGGGCTGCGAAGGGCTTGCGGACCTGCAGAAAATCACCCCGCGGGCCGCATGCGGGCCACGTGCCGCGTGTTTGAGACCCCTGCTCTAATGGCTGCTTTGGGCTGGGCACCAGAATGGAGAGCAGGAAGAATGTCTCTCCTGTGCTCTCAGTAACACTCTCCCACCCCCTCTTAACACCAAGGCAGCCTGACTCAAATGCACAGGTCACAAGATCCAGACTGAGGGGTTGAGGGGAGGGAGCAGATTTGGAAAAGGAGCCTGTGACACTGGGGTGAGTTGGGGGGAGAGAAAAACTGTGCTTGATCTGGGGGAGGCCTGGAACTAGTTGGGCAAGGAGACTGGGCCTGTGGCTCATGGAGGCTGGGATTTGTTGGGCAAGGAGACTAGGAGCAGGGCTGGTTCTAACTTTTTTGCCGCCCCAGGCAAAAAAGAAGAGCGCCGCCCCGCCGTAACGCCTCCCCCCCAGCGCCGTGCCACTGACCCCTTCTCCCCCCAGGGCTGCGCTGGCCCACCGAAACCCCCGCGCCCCCTCCCAGCACTGCGCCGCCGACCCCCTCCCCACAGCACCACGCTGGGCTGCCGAACACCCCCCCCAGCACTGGGCCAGGCCGCCCCCCCCCCCCAGCGCCGGGCCGGCCAAACCCCCAGAGTGCCGCTCCATGCTGGCCAAACCCCCGCCCCTCCTCCCAGCACTGGGAGGAAGAGGCAGACTGGATGAGGGACTGTGAGGAGGGAACTGTGATTGTTTGGGCAAGGAGACGGGCTGAGAATGTCAGAAATTGGGATTTGAATGGGGCATCCAGAGGGGGAGACTGGGACTGACTGGGTGAGGAGACTAGGACTGGGATAAGAAACCTGAGGAAGGGAGACTGGGATTGGGAAGGCAAAGAGAATGGCACTGGGACAAGGAGCCAGAGGTGGGAAAGTGATAGGACATGGACAGGGTTGGAGTGGAGAAAACAGAATGGCTCTCATCTGTGACTATCGTAGAATACTCTCTTCCAAATCTGGAATGGAACCCAAGATTCTTGAGTCCTACCATTCTTCTACTGTCAGCAAATATACTAGGGTTACCATACGTCCTCTTTTTCCCCGACATGTCCGGCTTTTCGGCAGTCAAACCCCCGTCCGGGGGGAATTGCCAAAAAGCCGAACATGTCCGGGAAAATGGCGGCTCTGCTCCTCCCCAA